GGGGGGACATAAACATTCAGTTGACATGGGAGCTTGGACCAGGGTGAATGAATATGAAACAATCTGTTTACCTTGGGCTGTGACTCTATGTATCAATAGTGCATGTGGGCTGTGAGCTCAGTGTGTCCTATGCATGATCAAAGGAAGCTTGCAGTGTACCTCATGAGATGGGGATGGAGGAGGTAGAGGTGTGAACCCTGAGAAGGCCAAAGGGATGTGAGGGCCACCTTGTGGTGACAGCGATGTGCCTACACTGGGAACTCAGTGGTAAACAGTAGCCCAGTACATGCTGCATGGGATCAGTGAGCTGCACTGCTCAGAACACTCCAGGCCAAAGGTGAAATGAGATGTACAGGGCAGGGCTGGACTGTCCCTCCTCCATGGTCCTGGCCCACAGCCTGGAGAAGCAGAACTTGAGGTGCAGTCCATGCTAAGCATTCAGTCTGTGCTGGGGTAGCCAGTGATATTCTCTGGTTGTTCTCACCTTCTAGCTAGCCTTAGCCAGGCAGCCAGATTACCCAGGGAGGCGCTGGCATGCAGGTGGAGATCACCTCTCCCTGGGACATTTGTAAGCCTCCAACCTCAGCTAAGGCTAACCTATGATGCATCAGGCAGTCTTTTCTAAGAGCAATCATGCCTTGGTATTCATTGGACACATCAGCACTGTGTTAACATTATACCTACACGGTCTCCTTCTATCTCTACAACAATTGTGCAAATAGGAACTGCCCCTGGGGCTGTGCTGAATGCAGGAGAACCTCCATAGTTGACCACCTCCCTACATTGACCCCTTAAGTTGACCTAATTTTCTTTCTTTCTTTCTTCTTCCTTTTTTTTTCAGAGACAGAGTCTCATTTTATCACAGCCCGCAGCAACCTCTAAATCCTGAGCTTAGATGATTCTCTTGCCTCAGCCTCCTGAGTAACTAGGACTACAGGCGCCCACCACAATGCCTGACTATTTTTTGTTGCAGTTTGGCCAGGACTGGGTTCAAACTAGCCACCCTTGGTATATGGGGCTGGTGCTGTACCCACTGAGTCACAGGTGCTGCCCAGTTGACCTAATTTTTATAGACTAGAAAACACCACATGTACATATCTGTACAGTAGGCCTAGTTCCTTATGTTGATCACTTCCATATGCTGACCAGTTTGTTACAGTCCCTTTGGTGGACGACTCACAGAGCCTGTATGTATAATTCCTTTGCCCTCAGCTGTACTGTCCATCCTGGTCTGTGTCCTGGGAGACTGACTTACCTCTGACTTGTGGCTGGGCTTGGGCAATGGGAGCCACTGGCATTAGCAGGAGATGGGAGAGTGAAGTTGGGGGTTTATTTGGTTGCTGTGGTTGGATACATCCCAGAGGTGCTATCCACTGTTACCCTGGTATTAGCCCCCTGGTACTACAGTATCCCTGATGGGTTTCCTCAATCATGCCCATGCCTCTGAAAGTCTAGGAGAATCTCTTTAAAGTTACTGGGTTTGAATGTGCCATCTGTTTTCTGCTGGGCCCTGATGGATCCAATCCCATTGTATTGATGACAAGACTGAGGCTCTGAAAGCCTGCCCAAGGTGCAGTGTGGTGAAGCTGTGCTCATGAAGGAGTCAAACTCTGATTCCTGGGTGTGGAGAACAGTGGCAGCCCAGCCCTGGACCCTTTCTACTTGCCTGGCTTATCCACTCCCTAACTGACCACCACCTGTTCTGTCTACACAATGACCTTGCTGGCTTTGGCTCCTGGTTCCTGGCCTTGGCTCTGCTAGTCACTGAACGTTCCTCTGGGCTCGCATAGCTTTGCACCCTGTTTTGCTTCCCATTCTGGTCCAGCCTTGGGTGATGCTTTCTTCAACATTTCAGGTCATGCCACAGCACAGTCTCCTGCATTTCAGGTCATGACACAGCTTTAGGCACCCCAGGTCTGAGTCTGTCTCCCCCAGACTCTTAACTCCTTGGGCTCAGGTTCCACTTCCTTACACTGTGCCAGGATCCTGCCAGGGGCCAGGCATGGAGAAAATGCTCAGGGAAATCAGAATGATCTGAGTGAAACGCAGGCTGAGGCTGGGCCTGCATCCATTAGAGTGGACCTCACGGCCTGCTGAGAGTGTAGATAAGGAGTGAGAGTATGAAGAACAGGGATTGTGTGTTCGCAGGGTGGGGATGATGGTTGTGGAGGCAGTGACTGGGTGACAAGGGAGGAGGGAGTATCACAGTGATTGTGACACTGATGAGAGTGACAGTGATTGTGCATGTACTCAGGGCAGAGGCTAATGATGAAGGCAGGATGTGCTGTTGTAGAGGGATCACCACGTCCTCTTGTGTCCACAGCTGGAATCCCAACATGTACATTTTTAGTGTCTGCACCAGGGCCACTTCCAGCCAACTCCAGCCACTACCTGTCAACTTCAGGCTCGCCTAGCTTCCAGCCACAGCCCCCATGCTAGTTTCTTCCCCATGGAGTCTTGTAGGAGTGTGGAAGAACCAAGGACAGAGCCAGCCTGTATAAAACGCAGCCTTTATTGATTTCAAGGAAACCACGTTGGGGATGTTCCCATCAGTGCATCCACTCTGGGTTCCTGGGAGCAGGGGCTGAGCACAGAGGTGGGGGAGATGTGGGAGCACCCCTGCTTGAGGCTAAGGGACCAGGAATTTGTTTTGTGGGGGGCTCTGCTAAGAGGAGTGATGACACAGAGGATCTCTGGCTATCTTCAGCACCTTGCCAAGCTCTCTAGCCTCCAGACCTCACGTGAGGAGTCTGGGTGGCTTCCCCTGTGGGAGGGAAGACTTCTTTTGGTCTGGCTTGTTTAGCCCAGGGCGAGCATCTTTTTTAGTGGCCTCCAGGCCTCTCTGGCCCCTGTTGTCTCATCTTGGGAGCACTTCTTACCTCTCTTGAACATTATCTCCTCAGGGAAGCCTGGTCACCTCCTCCTGGGTTAGCTAGAAGTCCTGCTGTGAGTGTCCTGAGTGTCCCCTTGCATAGCTTATATACAGTTAATTTGCTTGTTTAAAAGTCTGTCTCCGCTGAGGGCTGGCACTGGGCCTGTGGCCAAGTGCCCACCAGCAAAAATTATCTGCCCAAACAGAAATTCAATAGCTTAGTGAATTCTAAGTGGGGTACCCAGCCCACATAGAAACTTCCACCCTGAAGCCCCTCCCTACCTGTCCCACTGGCAGCCCCAGTGTCACCGCAAGCCACAGGGTCAGATTGGGGTCAGCTTAGGTGTGGAAGCCTGCAGCTTGTTATCACCCAGGTCCGGACCCAGCTCCCCAGCCTCCACCAGCTTGTGGTGGAGCCAGCAGGTAAAGACCCAGCTGTGGAGGCTGCGAACGTTCAGAATCTGGGGGGCCTGTCCCTATGCATGCATCGCAGGAGCCTGTGGAAGATGAGGTAGCAGATCTCGCAGATGGTGAGCACAATGCAGACGGCTGAGGTGCCTATGAGGAAGTAGGTGAAAACCTTCTTCTCGGTGGGCTGGGTGATGCAACAGGCCACGGTGTTGGGGCAGGGCGCCACGTTGACGCACTGCACCAGGCGGGGCATGCCGAAGCCGTACCAGAGAGTGTGCAGCACGTAGAGGAAGAGGAGCTGGATGAGGAGCTTGAAGACGAGGCTGAGCAGGTACGTCCACCACAGGGCCCCGTGCTTCTTGCCTGCGTTGTCGTATAGCTTGGCACACTGGTCACCGTGCTTCAGGCGGTGGCGCCGTTCCCGTTCCTCACGGTAGGCCACGTGCAGGATGACAAGCACTGAGGGGCAGGTGACGAAGACGAGCTGCAGGGCCCAGAGGCGGATGTTGGAGATGGGGAAGAAGTTGTCATAGCAGACGTTGGTGCAGCCTGGCTGCTTGGTGTTGCAGTCAAAGTCACACAGCTAGGCTGATATAAATTGGATTCGTCCATCCTTAGGTAAGTGCAACCAATTAGAGCTAATAGAACCCTAAAAGATCAGTTACAAAAACAACAACAAAAAAGGGGGGAGATAGGAATGGAGAATTATGTAACTCACCACAAATACAATTAAAGAAAGCACTTTTTACTTTAAATTTCTGAAATGACCCCCAAACACAGTCATTTACAGCTGCAGAGCAGCATTTCACAGGGAAACAATAGACATCAAAGAAAAAATCATTGGTATAGTGGAAAGATGTTAGAACTCAGCAATGGAGAACAGTGAAATTATTTTATGGGGAAGAGGCTTTGCTTGTATTTTCACAGGAGATGACTCTGATTTTGTCTGGGTCCCATCAAGATTTATTATTATACTGAGGCAGGAGACACGCTTGAGCCCAGGAGTTGGAGGGTGCTGTGAGCATGATGCCATGGCACTCTACCCAGGGAGATAGCTTGAGGCTCTGTCTCAAAAAAAAAAAAAAAAAAAAAAAGATTTATTATTATTATTATTTTTTGCAGTTTTTGGCTGGGGCTGGGTTTGAACCCACCACCTCTGGCATATGGGGCTGGTGCCCTACTCCTTTCAGCCACAGGTACCCCCCTCCATCAAGACTTATTAAGCTCAATCATGAACCTAAATCAGAAAGAGCAGAAGACTGCCAAAAAAGAAAAAAAAGAAGAAGCTGGTATACTCTCATCAGAAGGCTCCGAAGAGAAACAACCATCACAATGGATTGATGGCCCTTGCTATTTTGCAGAATAAAAATTTAAAAAGGGGGAGATGTAGGGGAAATGTTGACTGAAAATGCCATTCTTGGCAAGGGAAAGAACCCCCAGAAAAAGAGGAAAATTAAAAAGCAAACTGTGGGTGGTACCTGTGGCTCAAAAGGGTAGGGCGCTGGCCCCATATGCCGGAGGTGGTAGGTTCAAACACAGCCCTGGTCAAAAAAAAAAAAAGCAAGCTAACTGATTTGGAAGAAATAAAAGTCAGCTAGTTTACACTTAGGCTTGCTGTTGGTAGCAAGCTTCTTGCCTTTTCTGAAATTGTAGCCTGGTGGGGATATAGCTTACAAACACCCTGCTGAGTCTGTGAGCACTCAGAGGAAAATCATGGCCATAGAAGAGACTATGGCAAGTCCTAGCAAAGATATATTTTCTAGAGCGTTTCCTTCCTATTAAATAGGCAAAGCAGATACCCACTGTGGAGATTTGCATTTGCTCGGGGCAGAGACCAAGGAAGTAGCTTGAGCCCTGAGAATATGGGCAGAGTAGCCTATATCCCTTATTGCAGAGGAAGATCCTCTGTGGTGGTGATGGGAGGAAAATGCCTCCCTCCCAGCAATTCCTCAGAGGAGATTAATGCTGGTGGCATTTTACTCCACAGAGAACTAGTGGAGTTTGACACATCCCTAGAAATCAGTGTGTGTGAGATCTCAAGCAGTAGGCTTTCCCAATACAAGGCTCAGCTTTCAGCTTTCAGCTTTCTGAGGGCTATTCTTCAAGTCAATAATAATAATGGGAGTTGGTATGCTCAATCAGAGAAACTGCTTGCATCTTTATTCCCTCCCTCATCTTACCCTCTGGGCAAGTAGACTTCAATAAAATCGGAGCAAACACTCTGGGTCATTGCCAGAATCCCATAAGTGGGGAATGGGCCCCTGAGCTCCCACCATTAATTCTACTCTATGTCTTATGTCTCTTCCTTTACCTTTCTTTCTTTCTTTCTTTTTTTGAGACAGAGTCTCACTTTGTCACCCTTGGTAGAGTGCCATGGCATCACAGCTCACAGCAACCTCCAACTCCTGGACTTAGGTGATTCTCCTACCTTAGCCTCCCAAGTAGCTGGGACGACAGGCGCCCACCACAATGCCCAGCTATTTTTGTTGTTGTTGCACTTTGGCTAGGGCTGGGGTTGAACTCATCACCCTCTATATGGGGCAGGTGCCCTACCTGCTGAGCCACAGGTGTCACCCTTTACTGCTGTTTCTAACTCTGTATTTCTTCAGTCAATTGCCACTAGTATCCACAGGTCTTAGTGGACCCTGCTATTGGGGTGAAACCTCGACACTTGGAGCCCAGTGACAATTGGTGTCCAATGGGTTCTTGCGGATTCTGAAGTTCGCCTGAGTGACGTTTGTGGGGAAAATTTGTTCTCAGCAGTCGATTCCTGGACATGAATCTTCCCAGCTTTGGTAGTCTTGCAAAGCGTCTGGAAGCATTTTCAGGGTAACAATGGGAAATACCAGGTTTCACTTCTCTCCCAATTTGGATGTAGTATGCTTGCTCTTAAAGAAGGTGGGGGAGGTGTCTGTCAGTTTGGAGACTCTGTATTCTCTGTTTGATGTGCTCTCAAATTTCTGTCCCTGGTTTATAACAGAGGGAGTTTTAAACATCACTGATTGTGGAAGGGTAGGCAGAAAGCTTGCTGAAGCTCAGAAATGGGATCATTCTTTCCCTGTTTCAACTTGGTCAGTTTGGGTGGCTACTCGTGCACTGCTCATGCCACCATCTTGTACTGAGGAAATGCACACCTTGCCAGAATCATTAAATAGATCTCATGAAAATCTAGGAACCTCAGAAGATTCTTTTAGTGAGATTTCAGTTCAGAATGTTGGAGAAAATTTACAGGAGTCAGTTCCCCCATCCACAGAGTCACTCATAGATTTTGATCCTGCAGGGCCATCCTCCCCTCCCTTTCAGAAAACACTGCGGTAGCCACAGCAGCCACTGCTTACAAAGCCACAGCCAACAAAGTTTGCTATTATCTTCAAGGTACCGGTCTCCAGGCCCTCCTTATCAGCCTGTCTGTGGAGACATTTCTATTACATATAATAGTAAGCCCAGAAAAGATCCTTGTGCCACTAAACAACTTTCTCAGCCCAAGTCAAGAACCCACCTACTCATGGATTCTTGCATAAACTATGGCATAATGGCAGCAAGAGCTTGAGGAGAGGAGGAAGGATGGAGTTACCCAGTTATTTTAATAGCTCCCGACCCAGTGTCTGATGATCAGTAGGGACCAGAAGGGCCCCAATGGGTGCAGTGGGAAGATCGCTCCTTTAAATTTTTAAAAGATCTTAAAGCTTACAGTTACACAATATGGTGCCAATTCTCCTCTCTCCTTTTGTTCAGAATTCTTTAAAATCTACAACCGGAGATCAAAGACTCATACCTTATGATTGGGAAACTTTGGTAAGAACTAGCTTGAGCAAATCTCAATGTCTACAATTCCGTACTTGGTTGTCAGACGCTGTGCAAATCACAGCTCAGAATGACAGAGAAATATCCCAATTGCTGAGGATGAACAATTAGGAAGTGGAGAATTTAACAATGTTAGCCGTCAAGCTGACATGACCTCTGAGGCTCTTGAGCAAGTAGGCCAATGTTGCTTAGAAGCCTGGAGCAAGATCCAAACTGAGGGAGAAACCTGTCTGTCCTTTACAGCAGTGAGAGAGAAGGTCAATGAGCCTTACCCAGATTTCATAGCACTTTGACAAGATGGGGCTTGAAAGGTCATGTCTGATGAAGCAGGCAGGAAAATGATCATGGAACTCATGGTATACAAAGCTGAGAATGCTGAATACCAGGCCTCCATAAGGCCAATAAAAAAAGTTCCTCCAGGAGGAGACAGACTTTCTGTCAACAATCCTCTTTTAAGAAAAAAGGAGTTGATTCAGCTAAGCAAAAAGAACCACCTAGTGTGTGTCCTGGATGTAAGAAGGGAAAATATTAGAAAACTTTATGTCACTCAAATTTGATACTGAAGGCAAACCTCCCCCTCCTTCTGCCGCTGCTGTTGCTTCTGCCGAGATTGGTACATGACGTGGCCCAGGTAGACCAGGGTGGGGGTGCTGATGAAGAGGAACCGCAGCACCCAGTAATGGATATGGGAGATGGGGAAGGCCTGGTCATAGCAGACATGGGTGCAGCTCGACTCAGTCATGTTACACTTGAAATCTGACTGCTCGTCACCCCACACCGACTTGCTCGCCAGCTGGAGGAAAAGGATGTGGAAGATGAAGAGCACCATCAGCCAGGTCTTGCCGACCACAGTCGAATGCTCCTTGACCTGGTCTAGCAGCTTCTCGAGGTAGTCCCGGCTACCCATGGCTCCCGGGCTTCTGTCTGCAGGGAGACAGACATTGGCATGTCAGTGCAGCATCCTCCTCAGTTGGCCCTGGCAGCAAGCCTGCAGGAGGGCTGCCATGCCCACTCTACCTTCAAGGACCCCCCAGACTCAGGAAGGTGAAGGACTGGCCTGGGTGCTCATGCTCTGCAGGGCTAGTGGGACCCAAGATGGATCTTTGTGGGACGGCTGCCATGCTCTTTTCATGGCCCCCATCTGCTTCTCTGAATGGCCTGGGTATGGTTGGGGTCCCTGCGTAATCACAGCTGTGTCCTTCTTGACCCTATCCAGAACCCCAGATGGCCACAGCCCAAGGAGATGTGGATCAAGTTGGTCCTTTGCCTATAGGGCTCCCAGCAGAGAATTTGAGGGACTTATCCAAGGGAGCCCAGGTGTGCTGCCCCTCCTCCCTTTTACTCAAGGCTGGGGACCTCCAGACAGCGGGGGATGGTGGTGGCAGAGGTGTTATCAGCAGCTTCTTAGGCACTGGTCTCAGGTCCCTGCCCCCTACCCCTATATCTAACCCCGCTGGCCTCACTGTAACCTTTGAGCTTGCAGAGAGGGGATTTTAGAAGCTGAAGGCAGCATCTTCCATTAGCTCCACAGGTCAGCAATAAGGAACAACCTAAGTAGCTACACTTGGTCCTGTCCTCTGCCTCCACTCTCACCCTTCCCCTCCAAAGTTGTTGCTGCCAAATTCTAGGCTCTTGAGAGGAATCCTCATTGCAGGGCAGAGGAGGCACAGGCCACAAGATCCCCAAAACCATGGGAGAGAAGGAAGGTACGGGAAGGAGTGAAGGTCCGGGAGGTTCCTTTTCCCAGCGCCAACCAGGCTGCCAACAGCCAGGCTGTAGAACCTCCGTGGGTTCAAATCTTAGCTCTCTCGTACTAACTGGGGCCTGGGGTAAGAACAATCTGTGGAGTTCTTTAGTCTCCTGTCTGGTCAAGGGCAAACAATAGTATTTCCGCCTCCCAGGGCGCTCTAAGGATCCAAGGAGAAGACGGTAAGAGTCTGGCTTAACACGGAACCTGGCTGGGCAAGCTGAAGGAGCGGCAGGCGTTCCTTGTCCCGCAGCAACCCTCAGTCCCCACTGCGGCGGCACCCGCGTTCCCGTCCCACCTCCCGCTGGCAGGTGGCGCCCCTGCCTCCTCCCCGACTCACTGGGTGCCTGCTGGGCGGCGCAGGTGCAGGTGGGGACGTTGCCAGAGTAGCGCCCACTTGAGCGCGGCTGAACCTGACAGCACCAGGGCGGGGGGGTGGGGGGGGGCAGGAAACGCGACAGGGAGGGCCACGCGGCGCTCAGAGAGACGGGGGCGGGGACTGGGAGGTGCAGACTCCGGGAACTCACTCATGGGAGGTGGCACCATGAATTGGGGGTGGGGAGCAGAGGAGCTCGGAATCCCCCGACCCTTCCTCTCAGCTCCCTTTCCTCCAGGTGTTCCTGAATAACTAAACTCTCCTCCTCTCGGGTTCTTTGGCCACACAATGGACGTCCCCCCAGGCCATGATCCTTCAGGTGGCGGGATTTGAGAGGGTTGCAGTAAGAGCTGCGGGTCCAGGCAACTGGCAGGCGTGGGTGTGAGAGGTGGATAGATGGGGATGAGGACTGGGGACCGCTCATTTGTTGGGTGACCCTAGTATGCCAAGACTTCGCTAATTATGTCGTGAGAACCCCATGGGAGACAGGGGTTTTAATCCGTATTTCCTTGAGTCCTTGGTGGAGCTGGGGTCTTCCCGAACTCTCAGACATCCCCACGCCTGGGCAGGCTACCCAATCAGAGGTCACTAAGCAACTCACACGGGTCCCTGGAGTCTCCTGCTATCGAGGACCTCCTGACCTTTAGCTCGGATGCTGTTTTCATTGCTCTAAGTGGTGTATCTGGAGGAGTCCAAAGGAAAAAGAGGGAAGAGCAGACCCTGCTCATCATTGGTTCAGGCATCAGCCCCAGTGGATGAACGTCAAGGAGCGTCTGCCCTGCTGCAGACTTTCGCCTGGAGCTGAGGCTACCACCCTGCACCTGCCAGACCTGGTCTCTGGCCTCTGGCTTTCACTGGCTGATGCAGGGATCGAGCATATCAGCCCTTGGGTAATGGTAAATTACAAATCCGGAAATTGTCTTGAGAAGTGCGGGGTGACTCTCAGGAAACTTGGTTAGAAATATTTCTCCCAGAGTTTGGATCAGGCAGATGAAGGGGGAAGAGAATTCTAGGCCTGAGCATGAGCAGAGGCTTAATGGCTTGGAGTGGTGAGGTCTTCAGATGGTGGCCACCTGTGCTTCCTGGGATAAAGATGAGGATCTATTGGTGGCAAAATCTAGAAGTTGAAACTTTGGATAGTACCTACTTTTTCTTTCTTTCTTTCTTTTTTTTTTTCTGAGACAGAGTCTCACTTTGTAGCCCTTGGTAGAGTGCTGTGGCGTCACAGCTCACAGCAACCTC